CGCACGCGTGAACAATTTATCGCGCCGATATCAGTTGATCGTCGTAGCCTCCTTGAGCCCTCGACGATGCAACAACGACGAGGAAGAAAAAACGCAAAAGCATGAGAAAATGTCGTGTGATAATATGATAATATAAGAGAATGCGCGAGAATACGAGTTGACTCAATACAAGTGTTAAGTAGAGCAGAAGAAAATGACAGTTTCCAAGCGTAATTAGCAGAATAGGATGGGTAGATAGATTTATTATGGACTGTGGAGAGAAGAACTTTGCTCAAACACAAGGAAGGGAAATATAAATGAATGACAGTTTTTCAAGCTTTTCCAGTTTTTATAACTAATGAAGCTTTTCAAGGAAACATCCGAAGGAAACATCCGAGAAATATCGCTCATAATTTTTTAATCGGTTTATCTGGTGAAATACCATTATAATCGGAAGTATCCGATTAAATCGGATATCCTGATCGGGTATAAAAAATTTATCGGTATTTTGAAATATCCCTTTAATTTTTTATCGAATGACTTCTATTAGTATGGGTCCAGCCGTTTAGCGTTGCCGTCTCGGTCACATGAGATGATTCTATAAAATATGACCGATAAAATATCGCGCGGATTAATAGACGATAATTCACGGCGCGCCTCGTGTTCTGCTCGACCGGCCCGTCGATCTCACCTACGAAGTCGTCGAGAGGAGAAAGAAAGAGAGAGAGAGAGTCGTTGTAAAGTTCTCTCGTCCCATAATGAAGACATTACTTCACGGCGGGGGCGAAAGGTCGCGGGGGAACACGGTGGGTGCCGATTGCGGAGACACGCGTCGGCTAATCGCGGCCGTGCGACGTGTGACGGGGGGTGAGTCGAGAGGGAAAGCCTGGGGTTCGCGCGCGAGAACTTCGCTCTCGAGAGCACAGCGGAGGACTACGTGATCCACGACGGGGAGCTCGGAGATTCACGAATATTAATCGCTCGAATTTAGCCGCCGACGGGCGCCGACCGACCGACCGACCGGGCCGATCCACGGAGCCAACGACGGACGCGGCCCGGACGCGGCACGAAGTCGAAGAGTGATCAATGCGAACCGATTCGAGTCGACTGACTGCAGAAATAAACTGTTAGTCCCTATGAATATATTCATATCCCTTCATCAATATTCAGAACCTACTTTCCCGACTGCGCTTAAATCCACTAAAATCGAGCGGCAGCGCCGAGCGCGCTCGCCTAGGTCTTCGACAGAATGAGGCACGATCGTCGATTTCTCATAACGACGGTTTATGCGCCCCCTCGACTCGTGTTCCCGTTCCCGCCGCCACCGCTAGACGGTAGACGGTAACCACGTCGAGCCGTAATGGCAATTCTCCCGTGTGTCTCTCCTCTGTCGATATTTCCCTCTACCTGCTGCTTACACGTCTATTCAGTTAATTACGCGTTTGAAAACTGCCGTTCCTCCCCTTTCCACGAGATACCTTCAATGCGCATCAGCGGGATTATTTCCCAATAATAAGTACATCTATCTATTCCATTAATTACGTATATAATGTAATTATGTGTGTAATTATGTGCACGTAGTAAGTTTATCCACATTGAGAGAAATTATTCGAAAAAATTAACAAACGGGATATTTGCGATCAAAATACCGGTGAATTTTTGTATCCGATCAGGAAACATTCGATGAGAAATATTGCTTCAAAATTTTTCGATCGGTTTATCTGATGAAATGCCATTATGGTCGGAAGTATCCGGTAAAATGTAATCAGATATTCTGATCGGATATAAAAATTGATTGGATTTAATCAGAAACATATTTGTTAATTTTGTATTGGATAATTTCTTTTAGTGTACATTGAGAAAAAGCACCTGATAAAAAATTAACAAACGGATATTTCCGATCAAAATATCGATGAATTTTTATATCTGATCAAGAAACAAACGATGACAAATATCGGTTCATAATCTTTTGATTGATTTATCTGATAAAATGTTATTATGATAAGTATTCGATAAAATTTTATTGGATATAAAAATTTGATCGAAAATATCTGTTTATTAATTTTTTATCGGATAATTTCTATCAATGTATCTATTTCATTAATTATGCTTGAAAAATATTTTTGTCTCTATCTCATTCAATACTTTCATTTATATTTTCCTCTCTTGTGTTTAAACGAAGTTTTTCCCCAGAGCGCGTAATAAATCCATCTATCCATCCTATTCTACTAATTATGCTTGAAAACTGTCATTCTCTTCTATCCTACACAACACTTTCACTTGTACTGAGTCAACTCGTGTGTATTTCCGCGTTTTCTTATATTATTAGATAATCTTTTCTTACGCTTGCGAGAGCAAAGTTCTTTCGCAAAGCGCGTAAAGAGATCCACTTATCTAGCTACTCTATTCCATTAATTGCGCCTGAGAAACTGTCAAACTTTCCTATTTCATTCAATACTTCTACGTTCCCTTTCTTGCGCCTGAGCGAAATTTTCTCCCGGAGCGCATGCAATAAATCTATCCACCCACCTATCTCTATCCATCTGTCTATCTATCTATCTACCTGCACCCACGGCACCGCAATAGAAAACGCGACGTACCCGACGGTCTCTGTAGTTTCTGTCACGGGGCGAACGGCCCACTCGGAGCGCGTCCAAACGCCTTTCCGATGTAATTGGCAACGAGCGCTCGTACAACTAATTTACTCGAACTTGGCACCGTTTCGACGGAGGAATCGAAATCGAACGAAAACGGCTGAGAAGAGAAGGAGGAGGAGCAGGAGCAGGAAAGATTGCAGGAGAAAGAGAGAGAATGGCGCGCATCGGGGGCCCGCCTTGGACCATTTCCAATTCCGTTCGGCTTCCTCTCGCTCTCTTTCATCCGTCATTGCCTGTTGCGTTATTTTGCTAGCTCGGGAAGAGTACGGGGGCCGCCGAACGTGAGTCGTATCCCGAGGGGGCCGCGTGGGATTAAAAAACTCTCTTGGCGAGGCGGTTCACGTCTCGATCCGGCGGATTTAAGGCGGCACCCGGCAAACAGATCGTCCCGCTAATGGATGGAAGCACCGATTCGATATTACACCTTCTTCCCTTGAGCGGATCTTCACCGGTGCTCCATCGTGCGAGAGAGCACACGGGAACGCGTGCGATCCCCCGTTTGGAACTGCGGGAAATTAGCAAGTCTTAGGAGAGAGATCTCCTGTTAATCGCCGGGGGTGATTTCTGCGGTGTCGCTCTTCGGACAATTTGCCGCGACGAAATTTCATTTGTCCCCTCGATGCTTCCCTCTTCCTGCTCCCTCTCTCTCTCTCTCTCTCTCTCTCTCTCTCTCTCTCTCTCTCTCTCTCTC